GAAGATCTGTAAACACTTTGTGGCTCCTGAGAGTGGGGGGCGAGTTGGGACACAGGGCCTGGGGCCCAAGTAAAATATGGCAGAATTCGTGAAAAGGTCTTTCTGGGGTACACTTTAGGGAAAAGAGGTATAGGTTGGGGAGAGTCTAGAGTCTTTCTGAAATGCACCTCTTTTTCTGGAGGTCCCAGAGCAGATGGAGACTATCTAATGCTTGCCTCTGAGAAAAATTAAATGTCTGCTTCTGTCACTTGCTGGAGGTGGGACACGCAGAGGTGAAAGTACACCAGACAATGGCCTCTGGCCATGGAGGGCTCCCTTCCCAGTGCCGGCTCCCCTGCGGAATTCTCCTTACCTTTGTAGCTGTTATTACATCTGAAACCAGTGGAAGGTTCCTGGCTACATCTCTAGAGAAGGAGGAGGAGAAAAAGAAAAAGAAAAAGAACCTGGAGAATCAACGTCTCTTGAATCTACTCCGAGGTTAAGAAACATTACAATAAAATTTACAGCGCCTTTAACAACTCTCAAGTAAGGCATTAAAATTCTCTTTAATTGAGAAAATATTGATTTTCAAGTGTAGAAAAAGCGAAATCGTAATTTAGCTGCAAACTTGCAGGCGAGAACATAGCGAGTTGTGCCACCATATAATGGATCCCCTCTTGATTCCCCACACAACATCACATATTTAATTGCTCTACTTTGTGAACTAATAAAGACAAAAAGATAACCCGATCAAGGCAAATGCTTTATTTTAAAAAACAATCTAGAGAAAGGATCTAGAATAATTACTTTTTCTATTTATGTATGAAAAGGATTGCCTATCATTTTTTTGAAGTAGAGGGAAAAGGTCCAATGGGGAGAAAAAATAAAAAATAAGAGGAACGGAAAACCACAGACCAGTCTAAAAGCCACTCACAGTAGCAAATCCGTTGATATTCTTTACCAAAGGAGGAACGAAGCATTTAGAGCAAATGCATTCACAGGCAAAACTGCATCCTCCTTGAACGAACAGACCTGGGTCTATTTTGTTACTTTATTCCCGGGTCCTGGGGCGGGGGTTGGGGGGGGATACAGAATCCATTGGTAGATAGGAAGAAAATCAGACTTTCTGTTATTTCTGTATCGGTTTTTTGGTATTATGGAGGAGTGAAGAAGTTTTTGTTGGTGGTTTTTCATTGATCAGTCACTCTGAGCTAATGTAATTATCCTCATCAATAGGACGCTGCAGAGAGAATCATTATGTGGGTGACATTGATAAATGACCGCCCAGGAACGGCCCTCTCTCGGGCAACCCCCACATCTGACCCTCCCACACACACAATGTAGTCATAGAAACACCTACAAGGACCTAGAGCGCCGCCCCGCCAGAGGCCCGAGAAGGATGAAAAAGCCTGGGGCGGGCGAGGCGGGGGCAGGAAGGGGGTGGGGGGAGAGGTTGTCCAGATCCCAAACAGTTGCAAGACAAAACCAGCCGGCCACATGCGGACCAGGGCTGAGTGGCTGGATGGGGACCGTCCCCGCGCCCCTTACCCGCACCCCACCCCAGCCGCCCCAGCCCTGTCGCCCAGACAAAGTGCAAACCTGCCCCGCAGACGGCTCCATTCCTCCACACCTCTCTCCACGTGCGAACTCCGTCCCTCCAGGCCACCAAGGGATGCTAACCCAGGCGCACCCACCGCCGGGAGGATTCGGGCAAAGGAGTTGAAGGGTCAGGTCACCGAACTCGCGGGCATCGGGTTTCTCACGCGCAGCACCCCCCAACACGACCCCCACCCCAACCCCAAAAAACCCACCCCAAACACAACAAACAAACCGAGATACCACAAAGGCAGCGACCGGGCGACCGACACCTCCCCCCCCGTAGCGCTCCCGTGTTATTTCCTGAGTGACCCCTTCTTTTTCTCTTCACCTCCTAACCCAGGGGCTCTGATGATGAGATAATGGATTTTGTGATGGTTCCTGTGGGGTGCAAAAAAAAAAAAAAAAAAAAAAGCCCCACCGAACCCCACGTTTTTATCTTTCCACTGTTTTATTTAAGTATTGAGAGCAGTAATTGATTCATAATGATCCATAAATCGGAGTCTGAAAGCGGGGAGGGGGATGGTGGGGCGAGGAGAAGGGGGGCGATGCTGTTTATTTATTTTATTTCTAAAGCCTCGGCTAAAGTAGCTTTGACACTGTTGGGGCTGGAGGGGAGGGGCCGCTGGGCTCTGCCGGATCATCCATCATTCCTGTCACCCAGAGTCTGCCCGGAGGAGCAGTAGAAGCAATCTCCCTTCTGTCTCTACAGCGAAACTATTAATATTAAAACCTCCCTTCAAACGCTGCCCCCGACGGTCCCCATTCTCATCACGATTTGACCGCCGGAGTCCAGCGCTGCACCTTCCTCCGGCCCCACTGGGACTCGGGGGGTGGGGGGTGGGGGTGGCTCCCCAGGCTCGCGACGCCTTTAGTTGATCACTGCAAAAGTAACTGTTCCTTGTCCCCCCACCGCCCCCCATCCGTCTGCAGCAGGTTCCTCCGGGTGACGACGCACACCCTCGCGACGGGGAGGCCTTTCTGCGCGCTTGACGACGACCGCGGGCGGGATCCTCCTCGCTCTTGGCTTCCTCCTCCTCCTCTCCTCTGCCCCTGGACCACAAGGGGGTCGCCTTGCCAGGGCCACTCCGGCCGTTTAGACAGCTCGACGGAGGACCCTCTGACAGAGTGGCAACTTTGTAGCGGAGGTGCAGGCTCCTTATCAAATTGCTGGCCTGCAAGACTAATGGAGAATTTGTGGAGGATCCCTTTGAAGGAAGGGCCCTCCTTTTGACAGCTGCTAGAGATATTAGCCACATTTCCCCTTCCCGGGTCTGCTCCGGGTTAACAGGCCCCGGGCGGGGAGTGGGAGGGCCAGCCGGCGAGGAGGACCTTGATGGACTGGACAGACCCATCCAGGGAGCTGGAGTGGGGGTTCAGGGTGCTGACCCGGGTATGGGCGGAAGAGGGGAAGCGTGGAAGGCACAGCCTCCTCTGGACTTTTCTTTTCCTTTAAAATGGGGCTTCTTGCTCATTTCCCAACCCTTAACAGATGGCGACTGTAGCTCTCTCTCGGAATTTCTTGAAGAAAGGGAAACCTTTGGAGTTTATTTCTGCTTTTGCTTTTCCATATAAATAAAAAAGTGTTTTTATATTACTCTTGTTTTGGAGAACATAAGCAATTTTATTCAGACTACAGTATTTCCTTTAACACTATATGGTTGTCAAAACACCATTCCCAGTTTCTTTGCGTTTGACAGCTGAGTCTTTCTTAAATATACCCAAATCGGAACTCTTTATACTAAATAGTAAACCCGAGATAGGAGCAAGCGCCTTCTGAGGTGGTATAAAAAGCACTATAAAAACTGGATAAAATCATCATCGCTCTTGTCATAGAATGCAGTGGGGGTGGGGCAAGAAAAATGCATCGGTATTACCACAATTATCTCTCATCTCCAAATATTTAAGGTTAAGATTAGCATGACAGCATACAGATTAGCCAAGATACTAAGCTTAAGATGAGTTTGTGAATTCAAGCTCAGGCTCAGCAGCTCTGGGCTCTACCCTTCGTGGAATAATGTAATAACCCCATAAAACACTTTTTATAAACATGAGCTTATGACCAAGGAAACCATGCAGCATTTACCTTATGGAAAGCAATGGAAGAAAAACTGCCAATATGTATTTTTTTTCCCTTTCAACTGATGTGAGAGTTAGTTTTTAAATGAGGAACTTGTCAGAGTTTATATCAGAGCATTTAAAGTAAACATATGCAAATATTTAAATTTTACAGAAAGATTCCATGTAAAATGGAACAGGAAAAAAACGAGAGGGAAGCTGTGTGTGTTTTACAAGATCAGTGTGTTTGTGTCAAGAGCTGCTATTTCTAGGTTTAAAGAGCAGTGCACTAATTAAAGTGATAAATTCACTTATAAAAATTTTACTTAACAATATAAAAGAAAACAATAGCAATTTATAGCCTTGCTCATTCATCTGCAGAACTTCCATTAAGGCTGTCTAAAGAGAAAGCATGGAAGGGCTTGCCCAAGACACCACTGTGGGTTGTTTCCAAGTGTAAGTTTGTTTCATTAGTGAACCCTTCCCCTATCAAGTTGGACCATCCATCCACTTCCTGTTTATTGTCCCTTTTAAATGGAGGAGTCAACACCCAGGAGTTAGGAAAGTCTAAACAGTGTGTTTATTTGTGTTTATAGGGGCAGATACCTTAAGCTTCTACGTTTAACACACTTGAGCAGACTCCATACCATATCAACAAGCCTGTGACTCTAGATTTCCAAGTGCAAAATCCTGAAAATGCTGTCATATTGTCTGTTCCTTTATTTAAGAAAAAAAAAAAAAAAAACTTGATCCACCAAATTGTCATACTCGCATTGCTGCACATGGAGAAAGCATCTACAGTAAAAAGATCCTTTGTATTAAATATTAATGCTTAAGCACTCTTTTAAGCTTAGGATTTTCAATTCCATAGAAGGTGTTTACTTATCTATAAACATCTATATATAAACCTTAATTTACATACTCGAAAGTATTTGAGCAAGATGAAAGAAATACAGATAAATCATGTTTGAGCACACATTTTTTTATGATATGAAATTAACTTGGAATAAACCCTTTATTCTAGTGGTGGGTGCATAGGCAAAAGCTTTAATCTGAAATTACTTTTTAAAACATCATGCAGCTATGATAAGACAGACTGGGCATTTTAAAGGTGACTTTTCAAGCTGGTTATAATGCACACAATTTCATACCTTTGGAAGTTTTCTGCTGATGAAACCTAAGAGTCCAAACACATAAGGAAAAGCTACAGATGAGGACTTTTAAAATTGTTGGTAAGTTACATCTTAGATATGCTCAAAGTCCTTAAAGTGGGGGATGGGAAACCATCACCTACTTTCACCAGTGCACAGTGCACTGGCATCCTATGACCTTCAAACCATTAAGAAACACCAAAGCCTAACAAAAAATCAAAAATGAAATATTTATTACCGCATTTTGTGACTTAACACCTTTTTTTTTAACATAACGTCACAGTCCTCATACAAGTATTTTAATGTAAATTTGACAAAGCTTAAAGGTAACAGCATTTTCTTCTAGTGAGGAACACGTGCTGAGAAAAGAGGATCCCATGGACATACAATACCAATTCCACAGCAGATCTGATACTAGCAAAAACATTCTTTTTTTTTTTTTTTTCAATTGAGGTAAACACATAGAATATCTAACATGAAACAATTAAAAGACCGAACTCTGTACGAAGTTTGTTACAGTACTCTCTTGCTCCTTTTTATCCCCCAAGCTTCGAGTTCCTGATAGAATCCTACTTACGGTGCAATGACCATGAATGACTTTGTGTGTGTGTGTGTGTGTGTGTGTGTGTGTGTGTGTGTGTGTTGAGGAAAGCTGCCCAACTTAAGATTGTTTTGTCCACAGAGCCAAGGCTTGGAACTTGAAGAAGCCTTCACTCTATCTCTAAATCTTCATTGGCAAGCTCTTTGAAGAACAGTTCCCCAAAATCATAATAAGAATTGGCTTATGAAGCACAAACTATAAAGATCTGTTTGAAACTAAAGGACACGCTGATGGGGGAACAAAGGCTGGGTGTGAAAACACATTCTAGCCGCTGGAGTTAGTGATGAGGATCAGCCAAGTGTCCATCCTGCTCCCCAGCGTGGTTCTGTGGTTCTTTCCTCATTGGCCCAACAG